ATGAGTGGGGGGGTGGGGGGCAATGGGGAGATAAGGACACATATGTAATACCTTAATCAATAAAGAAAAAATAAAAAAGTAAACCTTGTAATTAGCTTATTAATTGTATTATTGTGTTTATATTGTTCTTTTCCCCAGGAAACAATTGAAAGAATTTTGTTACATTTTTAATTTTTAAAAATTGTAGGATCTTCTAGTCTGCACCTCTTTAAAACTCTTAAGAGATCCTATCTGTTAAATGTGTCACAGGCATTATGTTTAGTCCTCACAATTGCCAAATAAGGTAGGGACTATTATTTTAAAGATCAAAAAACTTAAGTCGGTCACAACCACAGAGCTAATAAAGGACAGCCGGGACTCAAACCTAAGACTAACTCAGTCCGCATTAACCCACTATCATACAATGCCTCCTATACTGGCCTGGCCTTTTAAATCCAGACTAGTGTTAACATCATAGGTTAAAGGGAACCCCCTAATCAGGATTTCTGTATCTGATGACTGTCTCATCTTTCAAAGCCATCATCATGAAAACCCATACTTTTATTCCATTGGCACTAATGTTGCTTAGAGCTCTTTTGAAACTCTTACTTGTTCATTCATTCCACAAATATTTGGTGCCTATGAACCGATGCTTCACTAGGGCCTGGAAATAAGTGATGAGAAAACCAGAAACAGTCCTTCCCCTCACTGAGCAAAGAAGGCAGCATGGACTCAAAAGAAATATCAAATTTCACATGTGCTGGGAGCAAAGGTCCATGAAGACCTGAGGGTGTGCTGCAGCCGAGGGAAGCTTCTGAGAAGGTGATGCTGAAGGTAAGCTCTGCAGGCTGAGGAGTGACCCAGGTGGAGGAGCGGTAACACAGCCGGCACTGCCTGCGCTGCCCTGCAGAGCAAAGGGTAGGATTGACAGGTGGGGAGGCGGGCCGGCCAGGCATGGCTTTGTAGGTCTCGTAAGAATTCTGCATTTGCCCTGAGCCCTAGGCCTTTAGATGGGGACAACATGACCATTTCTGCATGTTACACACATCACTTCATGATGCTGCATCTGAGGAGGGCTGCGTGAGCACTGACCTGTGCCGGGCTAGTGATGACAGCGGGCCGAGCGTTGTAATGATAATGAAGACGGAGAACGGTGCATGAATTCGAGGGAAATAGGTCATAGGCAAATCTCTTGGTAGATTCTGAATGGTAGCAAGTGAATCTGATTTTTAAACTAACAAAGTAATTAAGAACCAAATCTATCTAACACATGACATGCTTGCTTATTCACTCAACCTGGCTTTGCCGGCTTTCCTTAGAGCTCCAGAAAGGTGTTAGGCAGTGGCAGCATCATTCAAAGTAACACTCAGCTGACCCAATGACTGCTTTGGATTACATTGATTTCTTCTTTCCTAAACAAATGCCGTCAACACACGATGGCACTGACAGTGACAGCACTTACCTATGTGCAGAATGAGGTATACTGTACGTGTGACGAGTAAGCCTTAAGAAATGTAAGATGTGAAATGTATGCCTGCCTGTTGTGGCTCATTGTTTGACCTTCGACTCAGGAACCAAGAGGTGGCCAGTTTGATTCCTGGTCAGGTTTTGGGCTTGATCTCCAGTGTGGGGCGTGCAGGAGGCAGCCAATCAATGATTCTCTCTTATCATTGTTTTTTCTATCTCTTTCCCTCTCCCTTCCTCTCTAAAATCAATAAAAATAATTTTTTAATGTAGAAAATACTTACCTAATGCTAGGCAGAATACATTAAAATTGACCTTTCACTAGGTCTATAGTAAGCCACATAACTTACTTGCTTGGTGTTTTCCTGTGATTTACTCAGGGATGGACAAAACTCCTCCTTAAAATAATATTGGATGGTTTTGTTATTCAGAATGAGTTAGTAATTAATCTGTACTGTTTCCCCTAAAAATAAAATTTAATAGAAATTGTAATTCCTTAAAACTTCTTAAACAGAAGGAATACTTATCAACTTATATTAATGAAAATGTAGACAATATTAATTTTCATAGATCAATTTATTTAGAATTACAAATATTAAGAATAAAAGATTTATGCTTTTCTTAATTAACATAACAGTTGAGCTAAATATAAACTCTGCACTAAAGTTCTGCAGTGGCACAGAATATGGAAGCATTTTTAAACTATACAAAAATTTAAAATGGAAAATAATCTCGTTTGTTTTTTATACATTAACATATAAAAAGCCTCATTTTATGAGACATTTAAAAGAATTAAAGCCACTTCTACAGCTATATCTTAAACTCCAAATCTGAAAACAATTTATTATATTTTGACTTTATAATATTCTATATTAAAACAAAGAGAATTCCAAATACACTTTTTACAAGATTAATATTTTAGGCAGGGTTTTCTTTAAAAAAACAAAACCACAACCAAATACAAACCTTTTCTCTGTATTTCACAGCACAGGTTATTATGTTTTCCTTATAAAATCTTTTTACTTTATAAATGGTATATTGTTGGATTTTAACCAATAATTTGGTCTAAAAGTTGTGCAAATAAACAAAAAATATGAAAATAGTGTGTTATCAGTCTTTTCTTTTTTAATAAATCTCATAACAATAGCACTTTTTGCCCTGAACTGACGGGGAAAGAAATGCCAAATCCACTTGCTGAGATTCAGCATTTTGCAAGTAATGGTTTTTTTCCTGCTCCTTCATTTTCTTTCAACAGACAAACAACAAAGGTTTCTTTTATAAATTATGATAAATTAAAATATTTATTATTATAAAATGATCTACAGAACCATGTCACATGGCAAGTATATACTATATATACTAGTACAGTCTGTATTCCCATCTATATTCCAGTGCCTTCCTTCACTCTAGGGCTTCCCATAGCTCATCGTGTCCTTTGAAGACTGAGATGGTGATAGGCTGAATGAACCAGAGTCGCCATTTTCCAGACGCAGTTTCCACACTGCCACACATGTGCATAAAAGACCGCTGCTCCATGTTCTCCACTACAGCTGTCTGCACGTGTAGGGTTGAATTCATGCACATTAAAAAATGGCCAATGTATTCCTCCATGAAATTATGTTCAGACATTTTCAGTTTAAAAACGACTTGCTAATTAACATATGTAATACAAGCAATGCTACTGCAGCTGAATAATAAAAGAAAAATAAATATACTGATGGTCAGCAATGCTGGCATAAGAAGCAGTACAGTATATCAAAATGCCTTATTTGCAGATGTAAATTTCCCTTGTTTTCCAGCAGTCAGGTTATTTGGTCTTGGAAGCCTATATAAAGGGAAAGAACTTCTCGAAAACAATGTCCTATCAGTAGGAATAATTAAATCTTCTACTCAGTCTCTGTTGGTGTTATTTTCTGCAAAGGCATGTAAGTTTCCCATCTGGCTTAGGCCGCTCTGAATATGTGCAACGTGGATTTCTACATTATTCTGAAAGCAACTAAAGAAAGAAAAAATATAGTTAACTGCTTTATTTCACAAAATTAAAAACAATTTTTTAAAAAGGAAAATAGCTAAGAATATTAGGAAATAGCTAAGATAAGGATTCCACCCTTCACAGTAGCCCTAATTCTATGTCAGAACTGACTGAAGGAAGATACTCAAAAGCAGCAAGGAGCCAAGGAGTGATGGGAAGAGGATACTCTATCTCTATGCTGAGCCTCCATGATAAACCAAAACCGAGCCTGGCTGGCGTGGCTCAGTGGTTAAGCGTGGACCTATGAACCAGGTGGTTACAGTCCAATTCCCCTCTCCCTCCCTCTCAGAAATCAATAAAAATATATATTTTTAAAAACAACTAAATATTATGTTTTCTGATTCCTTTATATAAAAATTCCATGTGAAAAAAAAATTCCATGTGAAGTTTCTATTCTATCAATAGACTGGATATAACTGAAAAGCTCTTTTACAATTTATTTAAAGGACACAAATTATGTAAGTACTTCACAAATATGCATAATTCTTAAAACCAGTACTGGAAATCACTGAATTTAATATAAAAATGATTAGGGTACATCTAATGAATTACCTGATATTAGAAACATCTATTGTACTCTTGATATCATTCAATGAATCTGTAAGTGATTTGAATTCAAAGGAATTCAGGTCTCCTCCTTCTGCTAGACACTAAAAGGAAAAAACATTTCAAAATTTAATTTATAGTTCAACTACAGACAAAAAAAATACCGATATAATCTATATATTACAATTTTTTAGCAACAAATTAGCATAGTCCGTTTAGGTGTGGATATTAAGAAAACATTTTCTCCAAAATTTACCTTAATTTGTAATAAAATAGCCGTAAGCCTGGAGATGAGGTCTGTCAGGTTTTTATTTTCAACACAGGGCTGCCCTGCTGAGGAGTTCGCATGCCGAACCATTTCCTGCGCCTCCTCCTCACACCTCCGTCTCAGGTCTGTAGGCTGGTCTGCAGGCTGCAGCCCCTGGTCTGGAGCGAGCTGGACATGAGATTGACACGTAAGATGGGCTTTCATGAAGCCATGCCATTTGTGTGCTTGTGCCGTTTTCAGATTTGGATGTTTACAAAACTAGCATTTATAACAAAAATTATGTGCACTCTTACCTTAGAAGTCTTTTTCTCCTATAACAGTTTTCTAAAGAAAATGAAACAAGCCCTAGCGGGTTTGGCTCAATGGATAGAGCGCCGGCCTGTGGACTGAGGGGTCCCAGGTTTGATTCCAGCCAAAGGCACATGCCCGGGTTGGGGGCTCGATCCCCAGTGGGGGGCATGCAGGAGGCAGCCGATCAATGATTCTCTCTTATCATTGATGTTTCTCTCTCTCTGTCCCTCTCCCTTCCTCTCTAAAATCAATAAAATATATATTTTTTTTAAAAAAATTCTAGATAACCTTTTACCCAGATTCACTGTTTATGGCGTATTGCATTTGACTTAACATTTGATCTCTCTGTTTGTGTATATATAATTCTTTTCCCTTATACTTTTTATCCCTAAATACTCATTATTTTCTAAGTACAAGAATATTGTCTTACATAAGAATAGTGCAGTTGCCCTAGCCAGTTTGGCTCAGTGGATAGAGCATCCGCCTGAGGACTGAAGGGTCCTGGGTTCGATTCCCGTCAAGGGCACATGCTCGGGTTGCAGGCTCAATCCCCAGTGAGGGCCACCGTGCAGAAGGCAACCAATCAATGATTCCCTCTCATCATTGATGTTTCTCTCTCTCTCTTCCTCACCCTTCCTCTCTGAACTCAATAAACAATGTTTTTTCAAAAAAGAATAGTCCAGTTATCACACTCAGGGAATTTAACATTGATATAATTCCATTTTCTAATAGTCCCTATTCAGAATTCTTAATTGACTCAAGGATGTCTTAACATGGCTGTTTCCCCCGAATGCTTTTGGTTATCATGTCCCTTTAATTCCTTTACTTCATGGCCTTCTATTTCCATAGTATTTCATGACCTTGATGTTTCCACAGTACTTCATGACCTTGATGTTTTGGGAGAGGACCCGCCAATTACTTTGTACACCATCCCTCGATGTGGTTTGTGTTTCCTCCTGACTACACTGAGGTTATGCAGTTTGGGCAGGAACCACAGTGTGGTGCTGACTTCTCTGTGGATCATGACCAGGAGGCATCTAGTCCCATCACTGTGGTGTTATCTTTGATCACTTGGTTAAGGCAGTTAAGTGTCTGCAGATTCCTCAACGTAAAGGACCTGCCCCTTAGTCATGAATAAGTATTTGAGAAGAGAGATTGTGAGGCTTTGTAAAGATTATGTACCCACTAGTTTTAGTATCTATTCATGATTCTCATCTTTACCAAATATTACTATGAGAGTTGACAAATGGTGTCTTTCTCACTCTTATCCTTCCTTCCACGTCTATTACTGGTATTTTACTATTAAGAGTTTTTCCTTAAGAAATAATTAATATTAGTGGACTCATGGATCTTATTTTATTCAATGGGTTATAACTTCTTACTATAATTACTTATGCTGAAGCTCAAATTGTCCCAGATTTGGCCAGTGGGGACCCTGTTGAGCTGGTCCCTTCTGATACGTCCCCATAATTCTGGGGCACATTTTACTTCCCTGGCACAGTAAGACGGTCCAGGCTCATCTTCTACACTCTCTGCCCCAGCTCTGGGATCTGTCTCCTTTCCAAGGAGTGCTGCTTCCTTTGTGGGAGAGCAGTGTTCAGACACTGAGATGCGGATGCTGGGTGTGCTCAGTGCGCTCAGGCTGTCCTGGCTCTAGGTTCTCTCAGCACACATCCACACGTACTTATACCCACGTTATAAACATAAAATGAACCAGGAATTCATACGATTCTTCCTAGTCTAGTCGCATACTGAAGGGTTCGCTCTGGTCTCCCCTTCTTGGTAAGTCCTTTCTCCAACAGGGAGAGGCTTGGCTCCCCTTATCCTCATATACTCACTTAACCATTTGCTTAGTCCTAGGACAGTGTCTCAGCATTGCTAACCCTTCACCACCATGAGAGAAACCCTATCAACTCGAGCTCAGCGTTGGTTTAACATTTGGTTGACAAGATGCTATGGTGAAGTCATGTGGACGCGTCTCTGCCCTTCAGGGTGCTCATGCTGCTCCTCTGAACCAGTCAGGCTCCTTTAGAGTTTACCTGTGTTTGCTGAGGAAACAAACACGGACAGAAATGTCACTCCTCCTCTCTCCTCTATCTCCACTCGGCTCCCAGATGGGTTTCTAGTTTATCCTTCCTGGGCGTTTTGGAAAAACTAAGCAGAGGCAAGTCTATTTTATTTCTGTGGATTCCTGTTTCCCCAAAGGTGACCTTTATTTTTCGTGCCTTACTTTTTTCACTTACTATACCCTGGACACTCCATCAGCAAATAGAGAGCGTCTGGGTTCGTTCTCGCAGCAGCAGAGCACTCCACTGTGCGGCTGCACCGTATTATTTAGCCAATCCCCTGGGTGTGGAATTTTAGGTTTTATCTAATATTTTGCAAATACCAATATGCTCCAGTAAGTAGCCTAGTCCTCTAACACTTTCTAAAAAATTTTTTCATTGAAGTATATACATCACTACATAAAAGTTCACAAATCATAAAGTCTATGGACTAATGAATTTTCACAAATCAAACATGCCTGAGAAATCAGCATCTAGATTAAAAAATACAACATTACTTCAGAGGCCCTCTAACGCCAACTTCCAGTGTAATGCTCTGAGGGTAACCACCATCCTGACTTCTAGCATCATAGACTAGCTTTTGAGCTTTACATGCTGGTAAATGGAATCATGCATTATATATATTCTTTTGTGTCTGATTTTATCTGTTCAACATTATATTTGTGAGTTCATCCATGTGTTGCATGTAGTTGCGTTCATTCATTCTCATTGCTGAGAATATTCCACTGGATAATTTTATGACAGTTTATTAATTTATTCTAATATTAATGGGTATTTGGGTGATTGCTAATTTTTGGCTATAATGAACAGTGATGCTATGAACACTCTAGTGTATATCTTTTGGTAAATATCTGTTCACATATATATTAAGTATTGGTATGTACTTAGGAGTACAATTTCTTAGTCATAAGTGTTCTCTCTGACATGTTCTTATATTAAAATCAATATTATACTTCCACAAAAGTACTCTGAAAATTGAGTAATTTTACTTCATTAGAAAATGAGCCTATCACAAAGGGCCTTGTGTACATATGAAATTATACAAAAAGACTGATGGGCAACCCACTTCTGCATGTATCATCAGCTTTGTTATGGCATCTTTTTGTTGTTGTTGTTAATCCTCACCTGAGTATATTTTTTTCCATTAATTTTTAGAGAGAGTGGAAGGAAGGGAAGGAGGGGGACAGAGAAAGAAAGACTGATGTGCAAGAGACACATCGATTGGTTGCTTCCTGTAAACGCCCTGACCAGGGCCTGGGATCGAACCTGCAACCACATTCATATATATAATTTTTAAAAAAATATATTTATTGATTTCAGAGAGGAAGGGAGAGGAGAGAGAGATAGAAACATCAATGATGAGAGGGAATCACTGATTGGCTGCCTCCTGCACTGGGTATCAAGCCCACAACTCGAGCATGCAGCCTTCACTGGACTTGAACCTGGGACCTTTCAGTCCAACACTCTACCCACTGAGCTAAACCAGCTAGGGCCATATATATAATTTTGTGTGCATGATAATGGCAATTCAGAAATAACCCTATGACCTATGTGCTTGAGTTCAACAATCCACAGTTGTAATGTAAAGTTTAAAGGAGGAAGCAACAAAATTGTATACACGGCATGATCATAACTTAGTGATAACAAGCATATACTAGTATATATAAAAACTAAGGGGAAACAAACCAAAATATAGTCTTTGGGACAGCAGAATTAAGTTATTATATTTCTCCCTGACCAGGTAACTCAGGTGGCTGGAGCATCATCCTGATGTGCCAAGGTTGTGGGTTCGATCCCCAATCAGGGCACATGCAGGAATCAACCAATGAGTGCATGAATAGGTGGGACAACAAATCTCTCTCTTCCCCCACACCCCGTCCTCTTTCTCTCTAAAATCAATCAATAAACATTTTTTTAAAAGAGTAATTATTTTTCTAAAATTTTTTGAGACCTATATCAGTTGTAATCCAAACGAACAAAATCAATAAAATTGATAGCTCACTGGATATAAAAGCACTGTTCAACACTGATACTGTAAGGAATAAAAATATATATGAAATATGGTTCTGTTAAAGGATTTTATAAAGATATTGGCTTAGTTTGGATTTTTTAAAGTGTGTAACAGTATTAAGCTTCAAATGAAAGTATAGAGGGCACAGATCCTCAAGGGAAATTCATGCAAATTACCTACCTCATAGCAGTACTGCTGAACTTTATGCAAAACTTTGTTTAGGTCCTTGTTGAGCTGTTCAAGCTCTAGAACGATTGTTGCATATCTCCGCTGAAATTCAATGCCAATGGGCATGGAATATGATTTCTGAGAAGAAGAAAATCAGATTTTCATAAGGATTTTTTTGAGCAGTGCAATTTCAATGATCTAATAAGAGATCTGACCTATCCAGTACAAACTAAAGGTTATTAGAATTGTCAATACTCAATGCCATACTTCTTGTGTGTCATAACAACACTATGTACTGTTACTTGGAAGACTGTCTTTATTCTTAGAAGCATCATGATGTTTGCTATTTACTTTTTTAAAAAGGAAATATTATACAGATAAACCAAATGAAGCAAAATTGCTGATTCTATATTATGTTCCTTATATTAGTGTTTCAACTTTTTTCTAAGTTTGTGATTTTTCAAAATAAAAAGTTGGTAAAAAATTGTATGTAGTCATTTAAAGGGTTTTAGTTATTTAAACTTAGTTGATTCTCCATCTGGAATCAATTCACTATAGCATCATGGTTAAGCACGGATGCTAGTTGGAGTATATATGTTCAAATCCCAAGTCAGTCACCTACTAGCTGTGTGACCTTAGCAAGTTCCTTAATCTTTCTGTGCTCTGTCTCCTCATCTGCAAAACAGGGATAATAAGACTATATACTAGATGGGATTATGGCAAAGATAAAATGAAATAATACATGCCCCCACATAGAAAAAGCTCAATAAAGCCCGGCAGGCGTAGCTCAGTGAACCAGGAGGTCACCGTTGGATAACCAGTCAGAGCACACGCCCAGGTTGCGGGCTCAATCCCAGTGTGGGGCGTACAGGAGGCAGCCGATCAATGATTCTCTCTACTCACGGATGTTTCTAGGTCTCTCTCCCACTCCCTCTTTGAAATCAATAAATACATATTTAAGAGGGGGAAAAAGAAAATGGTCAATAAATGTGAATTGTTACCATCACTGCCATCATTCCATATTTGCTTCCCATTAGTAAGTGTAAATGGACTTTGATTTCATTTCCTTTTCTCTCTTTACAGTACCGCCAACAAATCACACTCTCCATTCCATTCCAGCTACAAATGCTGCAATGAAATGCCTCCAGTGGAGCCAAATTTAACCCCATTTCTTTTTTCGGAAGATTTCCAAGAAACCAGATCAACTGCACCATCTAGGACAGTGGTTCCCAAACTTATTTGGCCTACCGCCCCCTTTCCAGAAAAAATATTACTCAGCGCCCCCTGGAAATTAATTTTTTTTAAATTTTAATAGCAATTAAACAGAAAGATATATGTATTAATGTTTCTACCTTTTTCGTAAAATATAGTAAAGAAAGGTGTAAATTAGAAACATTGAAGTTTGAAATTATGAAACTATTTATTGAACTCAGAATAGAAAGGTAATACAAAAAAAGTTAAAACAAATGCACCTGTGGCCATCACCGCCCCCTTGGATCGCTGCAGCGCCCACCAGGGGGCGGTAGCGCCCACTTTGGGAATCACTGATCTAGGAAGTATGGCTAAGGAGCAAGTACAGTATACCTAGACTGTAGGGATAAACGACTCACACGAACACCATCACAACATTACAATTATCCGAGCTAACAGAAACCTCATGCAGCCTGTCATTTTACAGATGCGAAAACTGAGGCCAAGTTAACTGTCTTACTTAATAAGCACACAACATTAAAATGTTTTAATGACTTAATGGTGCCGATGAAGAGGCTAACATTACTAATTAGAGCTGACTAAAGTGCCAGGCACTCTGGTACTGGCACAAGAACAGACAAATAGACCAATGGAACCAAACAGAGAGCCCAGAAATCGACCCAAGACATTATGCTCAATTAATATTTGACAAAGGAGGCAAGAGCATACAATGGAGTCAAGACAGTCTCTTCAATAAATGGTGCTGGGAAATTTGGTCAGATACATGCAAAAAAATGAACTAGATCACCAACTTACACCATACACGAAAACAAACTCAAAATTTCTAAAGGACTTAAATGCAAGATGGGAAACCACAAAAATCCTACAAAACTCCATAGGCAGCAAAATAGCAGACATATGTCGTAGCAATATCTTTACCAACACAGCTCCTAGGGCAATGGAGACTAAGGAGAAAATAAACAAATGGGACTACATCAAAATAAAAAGCTATTGCACAGCAAAAGAAACCATCAACAAAACAACAAGAAAGCCCGCTGCACATTTGCCAATGTTATCTTTGATAAGGGTTAAATCTCCAAAATTAACAGAGAACTCATACAACTTAAAAGGAAGATTAAACAATCCAATCAAAAAATGGGCAAAGGACCTAAATAGACACTTTTAGAAAGAGGACATACAGAAGGCCGAGAGACATGAAAACATGCTCAAAGTCACTAATCATGCAAGAGATGCAAATGAAAACAACAATGAGGTACCACCTCACACCTGTCAGAATGACTCATCAACAAATCAACAAATGACAAGTGCTGGAGAGGGTGCGGAGAAAAAGGAACCCTCGTGCACTGCTGGTGGGAATGCAGACTGGTGCAGCCACTGTGGAAAACAGTATGAAGTTTCCTCAAAAAATTAAAAATGGAACTCCCATTTGACCTAGTAATCCCACTTCTAGGACTATATCCCATGAAACCGGAAACACCAATCAAAAAGGATATATGCACCCCTTTGTTCATACCAGCACAATTTACAATAGCTAAGATTTGGAAACAACCTAAGTGCCCATCAGCAGATGAGTGGATTAGAAAACTGTGGTACATCTACACGATGGAATACTACACTACTGTAAAAAAGAAGGAACTTTTACCATTTGCAACAGCATGGATGGAACTAGAGAGCATTATGCTAAGTGAAATAAGCCAATCAGAGAAAGATAAATATCACATGCTCTCACTCATATGTGGGATATAATGATCAACATAAATTGATGAACAAAAATAGATCCAGAGACAAATGGCAGGTGAAGTGTGTGTATGTG